GTTCGATATCATCTCATGAATTTATAAATATTTATTGAGTATGGGGACTGTATGTTTATATCTATTACCAACAGGACATTGCTGCATTTTAAACAAGTGAATTTATCTGGGTTACGGCGTCCCCGTTAGGTTCCTCCTTTTAGGTCGTTTCTCAATGTATTACTTTGAAGAACCAAAAAATTAAGATTTGGAAAGCATGAATTCAAAATAAAGTGGTCGAGTAACTTCTAATTTGACAGCATTTTCCTCGTGATTCGTACCGATTCGTGGACATCTTTAATTCGCTAAATGTTTTGGACAATTCCCGTCAATTTAAATTCCAAAAGTTTGCATTTAAATAGAAATGTAACTTGACAGCTCGAACCTGATCTATACTTTGTCGTATTGCCGGTATCACCATCTTGGCCGGAACACCTCACTGAAAGTACCGAATTTAGTTGCATCAAGTATTTTTATAAAAACCCTTCAGTTTTTGAGTTTGGGTTGCCTTAAATCCGCGTTCAGGTTTTAGGATAACCACGGTTTCAACAAGTTTCCTTTTTATTGAATGAAGAATTGTATGTGTAAAAACAAACATAAATATATTAACTCTATAAATTTCAATGTAGGCTTATAATATTCATATATGACAAATAATCATAAAACTATAAACAAGTTAGAGAAAGGCATATAATCAACGCACTGAAATATGGTGGGCATATTTGACGCAGGCTACGAACAACTGAGGTGGCATGAAACTATTTGATACGTCGTTGACTAGCTTTTACACTCTAAAGGTCTGATGAACAAGTAAAACATAGGAGCCCATAAGAAATAGACAATTAAAAACTATGCTTACAAAAGGTTTGCTAAAAATATTTACAAGTTTTGTTTGATGTCTCTTGCATCAAGTAACTTAGTTTGATGTCTCTTGCATCAAGTAGTTTAGTTTGATGCCTCTTGCATCAAGTTGTTTAGTTTGATGTCTCTTGCATCAAGTAGTTTAGTTTGATGTCTCTTGCATCAAGTTGTTTAGTTTGATGTCTCTTGCATCAAATAGTTTAGTTTGATGTCTCTTGAATCAAGTAGTTTAGTTTGATGCCTCTTGCATCAAGTAGTTTAGTTTGATGTCTCTTGCATCAAGTAGTTTAGTTTGATGTCTCGTGCATCAAGTAGTTTAGTTGATGCCTTTTGCATCAAAGGTATAATTTATGATGAGAAGCCGAATACGAGAAAGCTGAATAATAAAAATCGAATAGAAAATGCAGGTCAAGAAGATAAGAGTATTTAAGTTCTGGCCGCAGGAGCAAGCAACTACTCAGGTTATTTCTCTACCTGACAGCAACATCTTTTCGTCATTTCTGACAGCAACATCTTCGTCTGCGTTGTTGCAAATAGAAACCTTGTCAGCGATGTCCAGTCCCAGCAAATTATCGCAACTTTGAGGACGTTCGCAGCCCTCGCTATCAAATACCGAGACCTCGTCTGCACACTCAGATCAATGAGCGAGACTTGGTCTTAATAGCGATGCAATTTTTGCTCCTGTGTGTATCATCTGGACACAGTTTGGCCCGGTATAAGGGCGCATCAGTGCCATTATAAGGACAGTTTGATCCATTAATTGTTCTGAACGTATAAATGGACCAGCAGGGGAGCTGGGGGTGGTGGCGACCAGCCTGATGCTCAAGGCGCGTTCGCAGTAATGAAATGCACGAGGTTCTCTAATGGATTCGTAACGGAGAGCAATATAAAAGATAAGAGTTGTTGCAGCGCTGCTGTTACAGGCGCCGTGATAAAGAGCTTACAGGCAGGGTATAGCGTTAATTAAGGGGTGGTATGGTGTTGGAAATTTCTGACGTTCTTAAATTGTAACATCTTTGATTCTTTTTCTTCATGCCTATTGTTGGGTATGGATTTGTAACTAGAGTTGTTGGCATTGTAACTTGATGGTGAAAGCACCTATCTTCATGGACGCGCTTCGGCAGTCTGTAATTAACGCCATACCTTCTTAATTCTAATTTTTTGTTAGAGTGATCACTCTCAGTTTTCATTTTGTTTATTTAAGTTGAAGTGCATGTTCGCTCTTCCTTTATTTAGGAGGCAGACACCGATTTAAACTTGGGCATTTGCCCTCTGTGGTATAACCACCTTGGCCTTAGGCTTATAACGAACTTGAAGTTAAATTCTTATCTATATGTATATTTAATCCTTCCTTGATTGAAGAACCTAGTTCTTCTTACTGTTAAATTCATGAATGCTTCGGAGTCTGCCTCTCCTTCTACTATCATAATTTTCCCTGTATATGGCCTCTTATTTGCCTCTTAAAATTGTCTACCGCTTAGTCGCAAAAGATTTTAAGGTGGGTTCAAGAGGTTGTTATAAACTTGCGAAACTGTGCGATATAAATTGAACATTGCTCAAGATCATTGTTACTCGCTTGTTTACATGCGTTTCTCACTATATGGTATCTTTCTTCCCATAGAATAACCATTACTCTGGTGGTGTCGGTCTGCATCCTTTTTTTGGCTCGAGACCGCAACAACTTAACTATATTTTCGCTACTTACCTGTTTCAGANTACAGCAGAGTGCACATCAGACTGTACAGCAGAGTGCACATCAGACTGTACAGCAGAGTGCACATCAGACTGTACAGCAGAGTGCACATCAGACTGTACAGCAGAGTGCACATCAGACTGTACAGCAGAGTGCAAGTAACCGGTTCTGGGCGTCTCAGCGCGGCGGAGACGCTGCTGCGCTGCTCTTATCCGCGCAGGAATGCAACACAAAATATGTAACGCGAGGCAACTAGCAGAATAATCCCACCGGACAACGAAACCCACCGTGCAACTCAAGAGGTGCAACCCGGGCTACTCAACCCAAAGGGTGTAACCTAATTTAGGCTCCCTAAAGTTTGCAACCAAAGGTGTAACTTAATTGAGGCTCTTTAAGATATGCAACCCCTGGCATTTAATCAAAGTGGAATTACTTTAGGGTTTCAAGCAACGTAATTCAGCAACCCACAGAGCTCTGCCCAACGTACTAAATCAGCACCTCAGATGCTGAGTGCTGATGTCGCTGCTGCCATCATATGCGTCAGCTCCTGCTGCCCTCAAGTATCAGCTCCTGCTGTCCTCAAGTGTCAGCTCCTGCTGCCCTCAAGTATCAGCAATGGTATGCCGGCATTGATGAGTTGTTTCTCTCCCGAACATGTTCCTGCCGTCAACGTCATCCTCTTCAGAGCGCGAGAGTTGTCGTTGTCTTCAACTCCGTGAACTAAAAATTTTTGCAGTGTAAAGTTGGCGGCTAATCTCCTCGGCGTATCAGGTAATATCCTCTTCAACTTCCATCAGCTCTGGACTCGAAGACTAACCCGTAACGCAACCCGTTGAAGGCGTTCTTTGGAACCCCGTCCCTACCAAATATAACCCTAAGAAATCCATCCTCCTGATCAGGCAGTCCTCAGAGAAGCAACCCCTTGTTGAGGCAGCCCCCACAAAAACAGCCCTCGGTTGAGGCAGCCCTCACAAAAGCAACCCTCGGTTGAGGCAGCTTTCACAAAAACAATCCTTTATTTGAGGCAGCCCTCACAAAACCGACCCCCAACCCCTCTCTCCGCCGCCTCCTTGAGTCGTCGTGGTTTTGTGGCGTCAAGGTCGCTCCTTTCTCTGCCCCCAGGCGCTTCAGGCGTCCGATGCCATGAGTTAGGGAGACGTATGGGCGCTGTATGGCGGGCGTCAGAGAGGCGTGTGGGCGCTGTATGGCGGGCGTCAGAGAGGCGTGTGGGCGCTGTATGGCGGGCGTCAGAGAGGCGTGTGGGCGCTGTATGGCGGGCGTCAGAGAGACATTTGGGCGCCGTAGGACGGGAGTCAGAGAGGCATATGGGCGCCGCAGTGCGGGCGCCAGGGAGGCGTATGGGCGCCGTAGGGCGGGCGTCAGAGAGAGGCATATATATGGGCGCTGTAGAGTGGGCGTGAGGGAGACATATGGGCGCTGTAGGACGGGCGCCATTGAGGCGTAGGGAGCGACGTAGGGCGGGCGCTGTATCAAATGTGAACCTGAGTGAGAGGTTGTGGAGGTGCCTCTACTAGAGCGCAACCTCGACAAGAAAGCGATAACCTGCAGCGGGACAAGATATGAGCAAAACAAACCACAACAGAACCACAACACGACCACAACACGACCACAACACGACCACAACAGAACCACAACACGACCACAACTTTCACCTCATCATCTCATATGTCTTTTGTTCATTTCTTCGCGTGTAGGTGAATGCGAGTGAAGAAATGACAGAGTAACATGGGGCGGCCTAGCCGCTGTTGAGTACGCATGGCTGGCGACATTTTCAATAGCTAGACAAACTGAACTTTTGACGAAAATAACTAATTTACTTTGCTTTATTGAAACATGATGTGCTATAATATCGTTTGTTAAATAATATATTAAGTTTTGCTTCCTGTATTACATTTAGTTATCATTTTTTTCGGGACACCGTGTGCTGCGTGACAACGAAGCTGTCCGTTTAAATTAATTCTTCCATCACGCGGCAAAACACAGCGGCAATAATATCTTCTCTTCCATAAAAAAAACGTGTTGAAATCAAGCAAATAAGCGTTGCTGGATAGTGATTGGCAGGCAGTGTTGAGTTGCTGAATGATGATTTGTTGACGTGCCTACAAAGTCAAGCCCATCGCTGAGACCTGAGACCCATAATTATAGTGGTTGTCGCTCCAATTCATCTTATACATTCTTGAAAAATTTACTAGAAATTTAAAAGCGAAGAAAACGCCACAAAAATTCATCATTTCTCTATTGAAAACGCTTCGGAGACCAGCTCTATCGTCTCCTAGCTCTCCGAAACGTTTTCACTAGAGAAATGCTGAATTTTTGTGGCGTTTTCTTCGCTTTTAAATTTCTAGTGAATCTGCGATTCAAGCAATCTAGTGACATTATTGCATGACAATTTTTCTTGACAAATTTCATAAATTTCTATTCTCAAAAATAAGTTATTTTTCTACAGGCTGCACACAGCGCCGTGGCGACCGCCGGGCTGCTGGCGCTGATCTGCGCCGGCGCTGCGCAGGCCGCCTACGGTCCCTCCGGGGCTGTGGGGACCATCGGTGAGGCGGCGGTGGGGGTTTAGTGGGCTGGGTGGTAAGTGGGATGGGGGAGTTTAGATGGTTGTGGGGGTCACGATGGTTGTGAGGCTCACGATTGTTGTTGTTGAAAATGTTCAATTTCTCGTTAGATCGTCGTAAACATTCAAATTTGTTAACATTAGAGGCGGCCATGTCTAATTCAACAAATAAAGCTATTGTATCGCTATTTTGTAACCCCAAACTTTTGTAAAATGCTGCATTGTGCAATGAAAAATTTGCGAGTTTTGTGGAACAGGTGTTGATAGCAGTCATGACCATAATAGGAATTGAAGGAGATTCACAAAGTACATCATATATCAGACTTTCTTAGAACAATAGTGAAATTTATTCAACTTTAGCATGAAAAATCCCCAACTAATACATCCTCAATATTATTCCCCAGACTTCAGGTACCCTGACTACATCGTCAAGCCCCTCGTCCCCTGCCCCTCCGTGGGGGTCTTCCCCCACCCCCGTAACTGCACCTGGTATTACAGGTACGTGGTACTACAGGTACGTGGTACTGCAGGTACGTGGTACTACAGGTACGTGGTACTCCACTGGATTGCCAGTTTCCCGTATTACGGTGATTTTCGAACAGTTTACATAGGTGCTCCCGGTTAAGCTACAGATACGAAGTGCTGCTGCCGTTTCCAGTATATATCATTGACGCCATAACTTTGACACGTTATGAATAATATCTCACAATACCATAACAAGACAATACTGTGACGTACCCGTGACAGGTGTAGCCCATAATACCGTAATAAGACAATACCGCGACGTCCTCGAGACAGGTGTAGCCCACAATACCGTAATAAGACAACACCGCGACGTCCTCCAGACAGGTGTAGCCCACAATACCGTAATAAGACAATACGACGTCCTCGAGACAGGTGTAGCCCACAATACCGTAATAAGACAATACCGTGACGTCCTCGAGACAGGTGTAGCCCAGAATACCGTAATAAGACAATACTGTGACGTCGTCGTGACAGGTGTAGCCCACAATACCGTAATAAGACAATACCGTGACGTCCCCGTGACAGGTGTTACGACCGTCACGGGTTGGGCTTCTTCAACCGCGCGTACTTCGAGTGCGAGGCGGGGACGGTGTTCTCCGACGCCCTGGACCAGTGCGTGCACGGCAATCCACTGCACACCTGCACCCCTCAACCCATCAACCCATCCGGTGAGTGAGCAATGCCACAACCATATCCCGACCCCACCATACCGCCCGATGAGAACTATAGGGCTTCAATCCATTCCCTGCCTCACCATCCCGCCCAATGAGAACTAGTGCCTCAACCCATTCCATGCCCCACCATCCCGCCCGATGAGATAGTGCCTTAACCCATTCCCGACCCCATCATTCCGCCCGATGGAAGTGCCTCAACCCCTTGCCGAACCCACCATCCCGCCTGATGAGTGAGCAATGCCACAACTCCATCCCGGCTCACCATCCTGCCTGATGAGAACTATAGTGCCTCAACCCCTTTCCGACCCTACTATCCCAATTGGTGGGTGAACATTTTGTTGGCAACGGGAATGGCTTTTACAATGAATTATGCATCATATGATGCTCAGCGTTAGCAATGAGACTGATTCAGTCAACATTGGCGGTGGAGTCAATAACTGCAAGCACTCACAATGCGGCTTCGTTGATTGCCCGCGAGATTTGAAGGTCCCCTGCAGTCAGCGGTTACTGAGTCAATTCTGTTGCCAACACGCTTTTTTTTCAATCTTGGCCCAGTACCAAATTGTGCAAGAAGTTCAAATAAAAGCCATCACGCAACTCGTGCAACCTTCACTACCGACTCGTTAGCCGCCGTATTCTTGAGTAAATGAAAATTTCATAAAAACGCGAAAAATGTAGTTGTTGCGCAGCAAATTACAAATTTAGCAGATATTGAATAGTGGCTATTTTTTGTAGGCGGTTTGGCCTTTTTTGCCAAATTCCGGCAATTTCATAATCTGCATAACTCCTGCATAGTCGCATCCATCAATATTTGTGAAGGTTATCGGGCGGTTGGGCGGTTTCGGTTGCTCATTTCTTTGTATTTCAAAATGCCGACAAAGAAATGTACTACCAATGTATGAAATTTAATATGCAACTTTCTTATTCAGTACACACGGGAATTTCTTTCAAATTCAATCCATTAATTGGGATTCGGAATATTTTGCAGTACTATTCTAGTTTTTTGGGTACAGTTTATGTACTTTTCTTAAATTTGCAATAAAATTGTAATATAATTCACAATTCTTCATGCGGAGCGATCATCAATCAAATGCCTAGCTTTTTAGAAGCTAATATACAATATAATAGTATTGCATAGGAATTCTGTAAAAGTTTTGATACCCGATTGATTTATTCAGAACAAATTTTAATTATGATCTTACATTAATATTTTTCCCCCGATATTATTTAATACTGCCCTCATTAAAATCAGAGCGTTTCCATTTAACATAAGTCATCTGTATTTTACTTGCGTATGACTCTATTTTCTGTCGTTATTATAAAAATTTGTCTATGGCATTTTTTGTTTAACTGACGTAATTTTTTTATAAATTTTTCTTTCCCACCACAGTTCCGCCGTACCCCTCAACCCCTCCAACGCCTCCGTACACCTCAACCCCTCCAACGCCCCCGTACCACTCAACCCCTTCAGTGTCTCCTTATCCCACACTCTCCCCAACGCCTCCCCCAGCCCCGACGTGCAGGGAGGTGGTGGAAGGGTGCGGGCAGTACGGGGTGTGTCAGAACTCCGTGGCAGTGACCCACTTCGTACAGCTGGCAGAGCTGTGTCAGGTGGCAGAGATACGATGCACTAACGGCACCACAACAAGGCTGTGCCCCGTGGGGTACTGGCTGAACCGTGCCCAGCAACGCTGCTACCCAGGTGGGGCCCAACCCCTTTTGGGAGGTTTTTTAGGAATAAAGGAACAGTTTTTTGTAGAATTTACTAAATCTTTTTCCTAACACGGGTACGTCATATAGTGATTGTGATACTTCTTGTGAAAGCATCAGAATAAAAAACCTACATGACGCATACTGATGGAAATGGAAAGTCATCAGCTACCGAAGATTTCTGAAATTTGTATTGTAAATCTGAGTTAATTCTTCATACTTGTTAAGAAAATAAGAAATGTGTTACATGAGAGCCCCCAACTGCCAGACACCTTCCTGTGCCGCATCCCTCCCCGGGTGGGAGGCCACGAGGTGGTGTGCGAGGACCGAGTGGGCGGCTGTCGGGAGCTCACCTGTGGTGGGCTGGTCACTCGTTCCTGTGACGTGACGCAGGTGTGCTCCAAAGGCGGTACCGTCACCAGCCAGCGCCCACTCTGCCCACCTCTGCACCACTTCGACCCTCACGCCAACACCTGCGCTCCCAGCGGTGCGTAGAGCCTCTTATTAGAGTGCCTGCTACAGGGGTGCCTCTTACAGGGGTGAATAATAACAAGTTTCTTTTCAACTCGATACTAATTCTTTCTTTTTATTTATTTAAATTGAAAAAAAACTCCCCAGGAACAATAGCCTCATCAGGTGTGTACTGCGGTCATCAAGATACATCTATGCAGGCGTGTACGCCTGTGCAGGCGCGTGCTGTCATCAATATCTTTTCCTCCCCTCTGAGCAGCGGGTTGCGTGGAGACTGCGTCCTCTTCCTCCCCATCCTCCCCGTACCCCACTGCCGCTCCTCAATGTAGGGTGGTGGGGGAGGGCTGTGCTCCCCAGGGTGTATGTGGGACTGCCAACCTGCAGGCGCTCGTCTGCCACGTCGCCTTCACCTGCGCCTTCCCCGGTGGGGAGGTGGGGCCTCCCCCAGCCCCGGCACCAACAGCAGTAGGTGAGCCTTCCCGACGCACCCAATATCAGCAGACCTAATCTCCTGCACCCCCAGTCCCGTCACTATACCGCAGTCCCCCAACATATTTATCCTCCCGACGCATCATTCACACCCATCCTCGGTCCCCACGACACGCCCAGTCCTATGAATAGACTAATCCTCCACCCCTCATCCCCACAGCTAGTATTCGATACATATAGGGATCAAGCTTTCCTATTTCTTTTACTCATCCTATCACCCGTTGTTCCAAATGGACTGATCGATCCCCCAGGTTCCACCTGCGTGGACATTACTCCTCCACCCAGCACCTGCAGCGTGGAGATGAGCGGGTGTCGCATCGCCCACTTCTGCCCTTCCGGCATCAACGCCTCGGTGGGCGTCTCCTCCTCCGAGGTGTGTCATGGCGCCCACCGCGTCTGCGGGGGAGTGGGTGTGGGGGGAGTCTGTGACCCCAACCTGCTCTACGAGAAACTTACCGGCACCTGTCGTCACCGTGAGTGTGGGGTTAGGTGTGGGGTTGGAATTATAGGGTTAGGTCATGCGGGGTAGAAATTTAACAAAGATTTATGTCGAGCCCCAGGATAAGAGGCTTAAGGTCCAAGAATGTTAAAAAATTTACGAGGTTCAGCTCAGGATATTTGAAAAAAAATATTCAGTGAAGAAAGTTCATGACTTACATTGCAAATTAAGAAGGTAAGATAAATGGTCAAATTTGTTGAAAATTATAATGAACACTATAAATAAAAACACCGCCTACGTGCCGCCGGCAGCGTCAGAGCTATGCACGGCGACGGTGCGACCCCCAGCGGCAGTAACGTGCGAGGACGTCATCGAGGGCTGCCGCGACGCGCGTTACTGCGCAGGTGCGGCGCCGCCGCGGCTGCTGCGCACCTGTGATCTCCTGACGCGGTGCTACCGCGACGGCGTCCTGACGCAAACGCTGCCCGCGTGCCCGGTGGGGGCCAAGTTTGATGTGATCGCCAGCCGCTGTGTCGTCCTCCCGCAGGGTGAGTCTCCAACAGGAAGGCTGGTCCCAAGTCACGAGGGCGAATATCTCATTCATTTAATTTTCAAATGTTCCTCGTCCTGCTCGACAAACATCCCGTTACTCTATTTCACTCATCGATGACCTTGGAATAATGATTTTTAAATTTCATTGGCCTTTCTTTTCCCTTATTGTTTCTCCCTCATTTTCCTTCCTTTTTCCAATAAGCTTTCCTCTGCCCTCCCTCTTTTCCTTTCTCCCTTTCCCACCTCTCCTTTCTCCCTGTGCCTCTTCCCCAAGACCCTTAATCGCCCTTATCCCCCAGAATCTGAGTGTACGGACCCACAACTTTCCCCCGTGGACCCTCTACCCCCCACCTGCGGGGTCGTGGGAGAGGAGTGCCGGGAGTTGCCGGGGTGTGGGGGAGTTGACAGCGGCGCGCTGGTGTGTCGCCGCTACTTTGCCTGCGCTCCACAGCCTCGCGAGGCAACATATGAGGCCTCACCCGTCGCCCCCGTCAACACTGGTGATCCTTGTTGCCATCATGTTGCCACCATGTTACCATAATGTTGCCATCATCATATTACTACGTATTTATGTACACAAAGCCACTTCTCTCATGACTGAAATGTATCATTATTGTGTTAGACCAATTATAATGCAATATATGTTATATTTTTGCTTGCATTAAATTATGATCTATATTGTAATGTTGGAAAATGCAATACTAAACATTAAAAATGCCTCCCAGGAGCAACGCCCCCTCCCTGCTCCGAGGTGCAGGTGGAAGAGTGCAGTAAGGGGGCGCTGTGCCCCCCCTCCTTCAGCAGCACGAGCTTCGTGCCCCAGGTGGTCGTCTGCCGCCGCGCCTTCGTCACCTGCGCCGACGGCCGCCCCCCCTACCAAGTCTGCCCCCCCGGCACCATCTACGCACCAGCTGACAAGTCCTGCGTATCAGGTGGTGGAGGTGGTGGTGGTAGTGGTTGACTGGTCGTGGTTGACTGGTCGTGGTTATGGTTTGTAGGCGGTGGTAGTGGTGGTGATGGGACCCTGGTTAGTGGTGACGACCCAGTCTAGTTAGGCGAGACATTGCTTCGGGGATACATTGCCTGTACCCTAATAAAATTTAGATGCGGGCATTACTCCGCAATAGGTTCCGCCCAGGACTTGGGTAGCACATAAATCAGTCGTAAATCAGCCTCTATTTATGGACATAGTCGTGGGGAGAGGTGGTCGCCACTATGAGAGGCGCCACTATGTCGTGGGGAGAGGTGGTGGTGGTGGCGGTGGTAGAGGAGAGGTGCTGATGGTGGTGATGGTGGTGGTGGTGGTAGTGATTAGCAGGTAGTGGTTATGGTTTGTAGGTGACGGTGGTGGTGGTGGTGAGTGCCAGGCTCTAGTAGTGGATGGTTATACGTAGAGGTAGATGGTGATGGATTATGGTGGATTTCATAGTTTGTGATAGGTTTCAGATGGTAATGATTATAAGTCTGCCTGCTGTTGACAGAGCGGGTTATCACATCTGTACCAACATTGACAAAGGGTTATCTTGTTAGTACGTTAGTTGACAGTAGGTACGTCATCTTGGTACATAATTTCACACGTGTCTTCTTGCTATGGTAGCAGGTACGTACGTACGGCTGGCCCGTTGAGGCGTGGTCCGTCCATTCACTGGTTCGTCCGTTATTGCAGAGCTCAGCCTGTGCGGCCCAATTGCGGCCCGCAACGTCTCGTCAGTGACGTGTGAGGACGTCGTAACGGGCTGCAGTGACCGTCACGTGTGCCCGTCGACACAGCGACAACAGGTAGTCACCAGACGGTGCGACGTCCGCAGACGGTGCTACAAGCACGGCGAGCTGTTCAGCGAGAACACCATCTGTCCAGGGGGGCTATTTGACGCCGGCAACAACCAGTGTGTTGACGGCGACCCTGGTACGTGGTGACGGGTGTAGTGACGGGAACCTGGTTAGTGGTGGCTGGTGTGGTGACGGGAACCTGGTTAGTGGTGACGACCCAGTATAGTCAGACGGGACATGGCTTCGGTGATACATTGCCTGTACCCAAACAAAATTTAGATGTGGGCATTACTCTGAAATAGGTTCCGTCCAGGAAATAGGGAGCACGTAAACCAGCCGCTATATGCCCGCTTCGGTTTACTTTTGAAGCCTATGCGCAGCTTGCTGGCTCGGTATTACTCTGCTCCACTAACCCTTCTCATACTCCCAGGCAATTATAAAGACGGATATAAGATTCTGACCAGAAACTGATTTCGGCCGGGTGGCCAAGCATACTCAGAATAACTTTAATCCGAGTGTAGCGACTCATTGGCAGAAGCCTAGGCGTTACCAAAATTTTATTAGGTTACTAAGGGTCGTCAAGGGATACGTGAGAGTGCGTGGGACCACCTAGCATAGGAGGGACTTCGGTTTCCATTGGACCCAAGCATCGAAATTACGAGCCCTTACATAGAACTCGCATTCAGAATAATGAATTGTCCAAAAATTGACACACTTCCTAACTTAAAACACAAGCAGCGAGCGGACGTAGCACAGATACGCCCTTTCGCCGACGCAAACTGGGACAGTCTGACGCATGCAAGGGCAAAAAGTGGATCGATATTTAAAAACAAAATCTCACTCAATTCTCAAGGTGCACGATGGTATTGAAACTGACTGTTCAGCAAGACTTATGTTCAAAACAAGTAACTCTCCACAACTTGCAGCTTAGTTTTGTCACTCGATGATAATATTGCTACAATTCCTTCAGTACTTTGCATTATTATTATTATAAAATGGCATCAATGTAACACATGTATAGCTTTATTGTTTTGTCACTTACACGATACGTTACAGTAGACACAGTCACGTCACAGTCAGGTTATGTCACAGTCGCATCACGTTTCCCACGCCTCCCACCCAGGGGTGTACCCCTGCGAGTCACCTGACGTGGCGTCTCCCTCGCCCCCCCGCTGCGAGCCTGTGGCCGAGACATGCGAGAGGCGTCAGGTGTGCGCCTCACCACTCACTGAGGCCCTCATCTGCCGGCGCCTTTTCGCCTGTGATGGAGGGGCTATGTCTTCCCCAACCCCAACCCCCGTATCCTACCCCCGAAATGATGGTGAGTGACCAATGAGCCAATATGTATAGTCAACCCTCCAGCCCTTAATCACCCTTCTCCCCCCTAACCAGTCATTCTTGTTCTTCCTGATTTAAAGAAAAAGAATTGTTATTGTTAATTACTATTACGACATCGTTAGTCGAACAGAAAAAGAGCGAAAAACTTTCTAGGGCTACGAGAAGCTGGTATGACCAAGCCACGACTTGTTTTAGACAAGAAGCGCCTTCCCTTATTAATCAATCTGATTGAAATCTTTTGATCTGGCAACCGTCTAAATACCTGTATTATGGCATATCCAAGTTCTGAACTCTATCTTGGACGAGAATTTTTTCCGGTAAATTTTTACTATTATTCTAACGGACGTTCAAAATATACTGAATTAATCAATGCTAACTTGTGTGACCTAATATTTGAACAGAGGTTGCCGAGGCGGCTTGCATCGACCTGGAGGGACTACCGGTGCCGGTTGCGTGCGAGGTGGCGGTCAGTGGTTGTACCAGGCGTGCCGTTTGTCCTCCAACCATCCAGACCACCCAGTTTGTGCCGGTGTTTGAGTTGTGCCAAACAGCCGAAAACAAATGCAACAACGGCACCAGCAAGCCCCTCTGCCCCTACAACTACCTCTACGACAAACTCAAGGGCGAGTGTCGGTCAGGTACGTGATTCTCGTGCACCATCAAGCCCTTCTGCTACGACAAACTCAAGGGCAAGTGTTGGTTGGGTAAGTGATTTTCGTGCACCATCAAACCCCTCTGCTACGACAAACTCAAGGACAAGTGTTGGTCGGGTAAGTGATTTTCGTGCACCATCAAACCCCTCTGCTACGACAAACTCAAGGACAAGTGTTGGTTGGGTAAGTGATTTTCGTGCACCATCAAACCCCTCTGCCCCTACAACTGCCTATGACAAACTAGCGTACACGTGCCAGTTGGGTAAGTCTTTTCCTGATTCTCAGGCATTCGTGAATGCACGAGTATGTTCTGGTAGGGTGCTTGTGTCTTTATTTTTGCACTGGGAAAAAATTTCATGAAGTTTGACTTAATTTATGCGTGTTGGGAGTTAATATAACACATAATATTCGAGAGGAACGCTTAAAATTCGTCAGAAATTATTGATCATTTGGAGGGAACAACTGATATTCGACGGAAATGTTTGATGTTCGACTGGAGCACTTGATACAGAGTCTCTATGCACACAGAGCCACCATTCCCAAAGACTCACTATAGCCCCAGAAACACTATGTCCACAGAGCCACTATGTCCACAAAGCCACTATGTCCACAGAGCCACTATGTCCACAAAGCCACTATGTCTACAGAGCCTATTTGTCCACAGAATCACTATGTCCACAGAGCCACTAGTAATGCCACAGAGCCACTATGTACACAGAGCCACTATGTCCACCGAGCCACTATGTCCACACAGCCACTATGTTCACGGAGCCACTATGTCTATAGAGCCACTATGTCCACACAGCCACTATGTCCATAGAGCCACTATGTCTACAGAGCCACTATGTCTATCTACACAGCCACTATGTCCATAGAGCCACTATGTCTACAGAGCCACTATGTCCACAGAGCCACTATGTCCACAGAGCCACTATGTCCACAGAGCCACTATGTCCACAGAGCCACTATCTCCATAGAGCCACTATGTCCACAGAGTCACTATGTCCACACAACCACTATGTCCACACAGCCACTATGTCCACACAGCCACTATGTCCACACAGCCACTATGTCCACACAGCCTCTATGTCCACACAGCCACTATGTCCACAGAGCCACTATGTCCACACAGCCACTATGTCCACACTGCCATTATGTCCACAGAGTCGGAGCTGTGCAGGGCCCCGGGACCCCGTCCCCCCGCTGAGGTTGTGTGTGAGGACAAACTGCGCCACTGCGAGGACAGCTTCGTGTGCCCCCCCGCGGGGATCCAGGTGTGTGGGGGTGTGTGGGAAACGTGTACGGGGAGTGGCGTGTAGGGGAAGCACTGCGCGACGTGTGCTTGCATGTAAATCTCTTCTATGGCCACAAGCCGAATAAGTTGATAATTTTTTAATACACCTCTGTAGGTCCGGAGTTTCAAACTCATTGTTAATCAGCTCCCGCCCCTGTCAGTTCCTGAAGGACTCCAATTTCGTGCTCCTATCGTGACAAAGACCTATCAGTTCGCACTTACCATGATCGTATTAAACGAAAATATCGCAGTTATTCAGAAGCCCCACACGGCCCTTTATTTGCCTCTGCCTGGGCATATTTGATGAAATATTCGAGGTTCTCCGGAATGGTGTTCAACTCGTCTGCTAGCTCCTTGTGCGGGGCATGTAGCTTTAGTTAATTTCGTCATGACGTCATGGGGCATTAGCAGGGCTGGGCAGCGCTACTTTGAAAGGTAGCGGCCGCTACCGCTACATGTAGCGGGCGCATATGTAGCGGGCGCTACCGCTACCGCTACATTAGCTTAAATGTAGCGCGGCTACCGCTACCGCTATATGTAGCGCGCTACTGCCCACCTCTGTCTATGGCACGGATGCTAAATAGGGAACTAGCACTACGAAGCACTACAAGCCATAGTGCGGCATGGAACACTACGGTTGGTATGCTAAATAGAGCCAAAAGCATAACGCGCACTACAAAAATCTGAAGTGTCCAACACACCGCACTTCACGACGACACTACGGTATATTTAACCTTGTTTACTTCGTCAGCTATGGATCTGTTTGGCTTACAGCAAAGGCATCATCGCGTAAAAACCTCAGGAACTACATGCCATGAATATAAAAAAGTGTACCGCTTCAGTGAACAACATGTTATTCTTATGGCTGACATTTTCCTTGGCGAAACAGATGAACAACGTAGAAGTAGAAAATACTTTTCTTGTTTTTGATACCATGTTTTTAATTTTATTATTAATTTTTTTCTGGAGTCATTTTGAATTCTTCTGCAAGAACTTTCCATGCTTCTCTCTTTTGTTCGATGTCTTTGGGCAGCGTGGACTTTGAATATACAGTATGATGGGAAAAGCGCGTAGACGCATTGCAAATTTCAGCTCACCATCACAATTTTCACTAGTACCATAACCATCACAATTAGACATTTTACATCAATCTTCTGCAAAGAATGAGAATTACTTAGGGAATAATTAATTATTTGAACACTTAACTACCATTCTTCAATAGACTCATAGCGATGTGCGGCACTATAAAGTACTCTAACAGCGAAGTAGCACTTCAAAGTCTTTCTGAACACGAATCAGTAGTGCGACACTAAGCGACACTAAACATTGTAGGGCTACTTCGAAGTGCTTAGTGTCTGTGACGTATTTAGCATATAAACGGGACACTTCGTAGTGCATAGTGCTACTTCGTAGTGCTAGTGCCCTATTTAGCATACGGGCCGATATCTACACTAGTATATTCAATTTTAATTCATGCATATAAATAATCAAATGAATGAAACCTTGATAAAAACATCCATGACGCAAGTTGGCAACCGCAGATATTGCGACGGTGCGTCATCAAGCACGTGTGTCGGGAGGGCGACACGGTGCTGACTGAGAAATCTCTGTGCAATGACGCCGACCTGTGGGACCCTTCCCTCAATCAGTGTGTTGCTCCCTCGCCTGGTGAGTAACCTGTTCTTCAACAATCGTGTGTTCCTCTCAGTCGTGACGAGTGCCACATTTTATCAAAAAGTATTTTCCTCCATTGTGGAAAGTGCGCCTAAGCCTTCCCAATAACAAGAAAATGATACAGAATAAAATAGAGAACAGAATCGCACGAATAAAAACTGGATTCCCTTAGCGATGTGACACTCTAACCACTGATGCAATGAACCGAGAAGTATAAGAATGATAGTTATTGAACTGAAAAACAACTTTAAAACGTTATTCAAAAGCTACGTAAAGCATCATCAGCATGTTGAATCCGAACAACATTACAACTACCACTGCAAGAAGCGTCTATCCCATTACACCTTCACTCATGTGTCTTGGGAAGACTCTTCCACATAAAATACAATAGCACCACACCCAAGCCTTGAATATTACTACGACATTAGCCTTGGCATCTTCCTTCCAAGCCCCATCTCCCTCACTGATGACATCTTTTTGAAAATATTCATTTTCTACATCCACATCTGAAACAACAAACACGTCTATATCGTCGTTGATGTTGTTATTGCGGTCAAAACTACAGGCCATACAAGCTCCGCAAGTAACAGGCTGGCATGCTGGTCATCATCGTGAACTCGCATACACACACACATGCACTAAACGACGACAATCGATACTGGAATCAAGGGGTTGTGAAATTGCAATATTTTATACAAGCGTTTGTTTCTTGGCCTTTACTATTGCCCAAAACCTTCTACAGATACATGAAACAAGTTGCACACCACTGTGTTGCTCTTCAATACTCCAAATCTGCATGAACTTCATTCGGTAGGCATAACCGCACATAACATTAGTTCACACAAATACTAAAAAATATAACTCAGTACTCACTGCAGTGAGTGACAGAGAGCGCATTTTTTGTCGACGAAAACGCGAAGTCACGGACAGACAGACGGACGGACGGACATGACGAGCACAATAGCACCTATTTTCCATAAATGAAAAAATGCGCTAAAAAGTAAATGTAATAGGTATTTCGTTTATGTTAAAAAATTTTAAACTGTCTTCCCGTCAGCAAGCGTCTCATGCCCGGCTAATGCCAGCTATGAGGCATTGCCTGCGCCGACCTGCGCCACTGAGGCGGAGGTCTGCGCCGCCAAGACCGTCTGTAACGGCGGCAACAAAACAGGGCTGCTCTGCCACCAGCTCTTCTCTTGCCAAGCCCCTACCAGCGCCTTCGTCAGGAGCCCAGTACTGCGGCAGGAAGTTGATGGTAGGTTGTAATGCTAGTGCTGGGGGTTGTTCACGTAGTGCGCTAAGTACTCGTAGTGTGTGGTGCGTTGGTGTGTATTATTGCTACGGCAACATTGAACAGCTTGTAGTACGTAGTGCTTGTGTTACTGAAGTACAAAAACTAGGGAAGGAATATGCGGAGGAGTGGGTGCTGTTGTAAGGAAATGCATGCATTGCATTCAGTGATAGTCTTGCATTTAGTACTATTGGTGAATAAAGTGCAGGAAGTTTTAATACTGACAGCAGTGCAATAGTGCATAACTATTTATGTGCATGTAGTGTTATTAGCGAGAGTTATGAATATAGTGATATTGTGTATAATGTCCTCAGTTTTTGTTATTTTCTCACTGCAATCCATGTTCATGTAGCCGAATGTATCACCGAACCCTAGCAGGCTCTTTTACACATGTTATTACTATTAAAGTATTGTCGTCACTTATTTGCTTGAATCGCATATTAACTAGGAATTTAATAAATAAAAAACTCCACAAAAATTCATCATAACTTCATACAAACGTTTCGGAGTCCAGCTCTATCGTCAGTTCAAAGATTCTAGAATGCGTATGAAATCACAAGTTAATACAAGTGAAAATCAAGGAACTGATTAAATTTCAGTTTCTAAATTTACAAATAATAGACAAAGCACAAGAAAAAACAGCAAAACCTATCTATTCACAATCTCAAGGGGATATGAGATAAAAGCTGAAATAAAACGAGGCCAAAGTTAAAAAATGTACAATGATGCTAAAATGCGCAGATCTGATGTACCGGAAGTAGTGGAAGCTGACACCTTAGAGTCACTGTCAGATACAGGAACATTGCACTGAACTGCCTTTATGAACTGTCCAGTCCTGCCTTTATGCTCTGCGACCCTATAATAAAGATTGCGTGACGTCATACCGACGTACGCAGATGCACATCGAGCGCCACAATGATGATAAACTATAGGGACGATCGCATTTGAATATGGAGCATATCTTTATATGTAAAGAAAGAATCGATTTTGAAATTGTTTACCCACACAACTTAACATTTGACCTTTGCGAAGTATCTATTAAACAAGACTTTCAATTCTCTCGACATAGCTTCGGACGGCGGACCGAAGTACGGAAAATAATAATGAACTGCGTTCCTACTGTTGCGCTCGGGAGCAATCTCACTTTATCGCTTCGACATAAATTTTTTAATGCTATGCACGCTGAATTTGAATCTTTGCGCAATAGTTTCTCGCTTAGTGGATTTCTGGGAAATTTGGTGTTTACATCCAAATCAAGAAATTAATGTCGAAGATATACAGTGAGGTTGCTCCCGAGCGCGATAGTAGGAACGTAGTTTATTGTTATTTTCTATACTTCGGCCTTGCGTCCGAAGCTATGTAGGGAGAATTAAAAGTCTTGGTTAATAGATTCTTCCCAAATGTCAATCTTTAAGTTGTGTTGGTAAACAATTTCAAAATCGGTTCTTTCTTTGGATACAAAGATATGCTCCCTGTTCAAATGCAATCGTCCCTAGCTTAACAATATTGTTGTGCTCAATGTGGTTACAATGGCCCAGTGGTTACAGTTCAGAGTACCAAGATTGGTGCAGAAGGCGCGGGTTCGATCTCAGCTCTGTGCGCCAGTTTCTGGTCAGAATCGGCAAGGAGGCCGGGCGGTTAAGCACAGCAGAATTGTAGCAGTGAGTTGCGAGTTCGAGACCGCAAAATTCTGTGAATGTTCTGCGATGGGATGACGTCACGCAATATTTATTCTAGGGTCGTAGAACATAAGGGCAGAAGCATTATTAATGACAGAGCATAAGGGCAGGAATGGACAGTTGCTTTCACGCCCCTTCATTCGGCTGTGCGTACTCATTGCAACATTACACATGCCGAGCAGTGCAATGTTCCTGTATCTGACAGTGACTCTATAAGGTGTTAGCTTCCACTTCCGGTACTTCAGATCTGCGCATTTTAGAAACGTTTTTCATTTTTTAAACTTAAGCCCAGTTTTAATTTAGCTTTTAGCTCATATCCCCACAAGATTGAGAATAGATAGGTTTTGCGCTTGTTTTGTTTCTTCTCCTTTGTCATTTATTTGTAAATTTAAATTTTAATTTCAGTTCCGTGACTTTCAATTGTACTAACTTGTGATTTCATGTTCATTCTAGAATCTTTGAACTGACGATGGAGCTGGACTCTGAAACATTTTCTATAATATATGATGAACTTATTTGGATTTTTCTTTGCATTTAAATTCCTAGTTATCAATATTATTTTGTCACGATGTTTGAATTATACCTTCCAATTAACCTAAAGTAATACTTTGCGCGTATTTTATTCCGAGGTCTATATACTTCACTCGCTTTGTTTGTTTTTCCTAAGCATTATTTATAATTTTAGCATCAGAAACGTTTGGAGAAATCCAAGAAGACTTATTCTATATTCAGCAATGTTTGGCTCAATCATTAGAATTCCTGTAACTTTTTTCTCAAGATTGCATGGATGCTGGCTTCCAGCCCAGCATCCAAATCGACGATCCGAAAAACGGCTCGTTTTCGGTCAGTTGTAACGGCAGAGGCGAGATTTTCGTGCCCGACGATGCAGTGTCGATTCTGTGCAACGAAGACCTTATGTGTCTGCCTTCGGGCAAATTTGTGGTGAGTGCACCACGCCATGTGTCTGCCTTCGAGCAGCTTTGTGGTGAGAGTAGGATGAGATGGAATTCCTCAAAAGGATTTTTTTAATTATCAAAGTAGCACATTTTTTGTGACTGTACCCGTAGTTTTGTGTTGCATAGTTCATCATTAGGTAAATTAAATTCATGACTCCCCTGAAATTTCGTCTCGCATCCGAATTCATCTCCGATCACTGCCATGGCGATGAAAATATTAGAGGTCGTTGTAAATCAGTTTTTTTTTAATTCGATTAGATTGCATGTTCACACGAGTCAACCGGTCACGTACTTGGTTCATCTGACTGCTTGAACGACGCCGGGATGAGTCGGAACGACAGCCAAAGTGGCGTTACCGACATAACCTCAGAACTTTGACCGCGCTCCCAAATTTTACTGGCCGAAGATCATGGGCCTGCGACATGTTACCTTAGGACTTGGGTCACTGTCCAGCCTTAAACACCTAATAATAAGTCCGTAGGCTTTGGTATCGAAAGTCGTTTATGCTCACGCAGCGGACGGACTAAGTCCACGTAGCGATTTAAGTACACGTAGCGGCCTAAATGCACGTATATCGGCTTGAAGAATCGTCAGTTATTGGCTGATAGAGTAACGAACTCCTAACTATTTTTAATATATTGGACAAAGAATGATTCCGTCTAAATCAATAACGTCATTTAAATTTACAATGCCATACATTTTGAAATCATAAAATAATCATAATTTTCTATCATGTCGCGTGGTCAGGACACCCGCACAACGTGCTCAAAGTTCTACAAGTGTGTGTCGATGCGCCCTGTGTTGACCAACGTGGACTCCTACTGCGCTGCCGGCCAAGTGCTACTTTACGAGACCCTTGCCTGTGTGCCGCAGAACACTGGTGAGTCGAAGCCGTCAGTTGAACAATCAATCGTCAGAAAACGATTGAGTCCAAGCATTAAAGGTGGGCACTGCAGAACTCTGGAGTAGGGTGAAAATTTATAGTTCTAATTCAAATCAGTTCCTCCCATCGGCCAGCTCGGAGTTTCAATTCAAAACGGATACTATTGCGCTCTCCACCCGGTCCTCATATTTCAGGAAATTAAAATATCGTGCAAAACAAACGAATGCATTTTTTGTTTCAATGTGTAACTTTCACCATTTCACTCATTTGCAATATTACACCCTACTCAGGCGTAAATATAACAAATGTTAGTGATGCAATTGTTTTCCTGTGCAGCGAACTACCGACTGTGCGGGTCCTCCATGCCGGTCTCTGACACAGACTCCATCCTCCCCATTCATGAACTACCCTCCACCCCTGCCATAACGCCTTCCCCCCACCCTGCCGTCACCGAGTTTTTAACCCATGAGTACAACACCACGCTAGTGTGCACCCGCGACCAAGAGATCCCTCGTAACGAACAAGTGCTCAGGTTCAACTGTGACTTCGTCCCCCAGTGTGGACCTGGCGGCGTCTACAAGGTAAGTGTTGCAAGCGCCAGTCTGAACTGTGAAGTATAGATCTTATAGTATATAGGGTGGCCCAGTGGTTAAAGTTCAGAGTACCAGGATTAGAGCAAAGAGGCGCGGGTTCGATCTCAGCTCTGCGCGCTAGTTTCTGGTCAGAATTGGCGAGGAGGCCGGGCGGTTAAGCACAGCAAAATTGTAGCAGTGAGTTGCGAGTTCGAGACCGCAAAATGCTGTGAATGTTTCTGCGATGTTAAGAATCGGCAACAAGCCTACGGCCTACTAAACGCTGAAACCGCTATTATTTTTTTATAAAAGTCTCACCTTGACTATCCCACTCTAGAAATGCCTTCTAGCGGGCCCATACCTGCATGAAGTATTCTCTGGTACGCCACACGCCACATTTGGTTCATGTTCAACGAAACATTTTAAACGGATGTTTTGGGCTTAACGGTGTTTTGCCTCAGTAGTTGTTCGGCCAGGGGTCAATTAACATGCTAATCACTTATGAATGGACGTTTACTCGCTTGCCAATTAATAATTAGTTTTTAAGTAGGCTATACAAACAGATTGCGATAACAACCAAGGGTTTGAGAGAAATAAAATATTTATAATAATTGTCCTCGATTCGTTCATGTCTGTAATTTGATACTTGATCGCCGTCCTCCGAGCCATTGAAACGAAATCATCAGCAAGCGTGAATAGTTCGTTTGAGATGCAAAGATTTACCGCATCAGATGGCCGATCACAGACATGGATATGGTTTTAGACATTTAGATATGCCTCATCTTGAGCATTAATAAGGTCAATAAGGTCATCTTGAGCATAAGTCGAGAATTAACAGTATTACATGTCATCGTCGGGATTTCTAACGTGAAGATTAAAGTACGGGTTGTCAATAATTAGCTCTAAGGAATCATCCATTTGGATTTGAATGAATGTGAACGGATTTGAATGAATGTGAACGAATCAATTTGTACCCAAGCGAAGTTAAGCTAATATTTCGCTGGCTGCGACGAACATTTCTTTGCATTAAAGTAAGGAAACCCACAAACTATATGCATGTTAGTGGCTGCAAAACCACCATCACATTTATATACCTTCTCCTGCTCGAACATGTTATATATGGGAGAGAGTAGCTTATGAAGTTGAGTTCGTAAACCAAGAACACCGCAAGTCCGCAGCCTCTGCTCAAGTCTGAATCGCCTTCATGGATGTTCAATCCCAGCATGGCCCTTACCTCCACAATTACCCCGACTCTCCTTTCTAACATAGCCGGACATAACCTAACCTCATTGCTGCAGCGCGGTGGAGAGTTGGAGTTAAGTTGAAAGGTTGAGACGGTCATTGGTGGCGCCATCATTAAGTTACACAACCATGGAGACGAGGCTGACTTGAGCTGCAGACCTAGGGTGCTGTGGTTTTAAGCACTACAAAACTATGTGGCTCACAGTGTTGCTAGCTTTGTCTGTGACTTCGTAGCTCTGAAGGTGAGCGTAGCTGTGCATGTTTCGTGGCTGTAGGGCGAGTCTAAGAGTTAAATTTGTGGCAACGACTGCGCTACCTCCACGGACATCTCGTGTTACAGCCAAGTAATGCAATAGTCATCAAGTACCCCTACGTAGTATCAAGTGCATCGAATACCCTAATTATCACTAAGTACTGTCAAGTCCTTACAAGTAGCTGTGAGCCACCACGCAGAGCCCCCAAACAACCCACAGTACCACTAACCCCCGGCAGGGCGTGCGGCGTCTGTGCGACAAGTTCTACGTGTGCCGCTGGGACGGCGCAAACTTCTCTCTCGAGGAGAGCGTCTGCTCCAACAGCAACCACCGCTTCAGCTACGACACCGTCACCTGCGTCAGCCTTGAGGGTGAGTGGCGGGGGACTCGAGCGTCAGCCTTGAGGGTGAGTGCTGGGAGATTCGAGCGTCAGCTTTGAGGTTGAGTGGTGGGAGATTCGAGCGTCAGCTTTGAGGGTGAGTGGTGGGAGATTCGAGCGTCAGCTTTGAGGGTGAGTGGTGGGAGATTCGAGCGTCAGCTTTGAGGGTGAGTGGTGGGAGATTCGAGCGTCAGCCTTGAGGGTGAGTGGTGGGAGATTCGAGCGTCAGCCATGAGGGTGAGTGGTGGGAGATTCGAGCGTCAGCCATGAGGGTGAGTGGTGGGAGATTCGAGCGTCAGC